AAATGGAAACAAAGCTTCTGTACATAGGGAGGGGAGGTTGGGGGGTATGGGATAAAATAAAATTTATCTTTTAAAAAAGAGAAAAGTTTATTCTGAGACAAACATGAGTGACCATGACCCATGCTCCACTAGAAGAGGTTACATGAACATAGCACTGAACAAAAAAATTATAAATCAATACAATTACCAATTACCTTGGTGGGAACCTCAGTTAGAGGAGCTACTGGAAAGCAGGGGAAAGCTGTAGGATTCTCATGTTATCTTTTCTCCTTCTCCAGCGCTGAGGACTGGAGCCAGGCCCAGCCCTTGGATGTTGGCTTATATGCACTCAGCTTTAGGGCTGGTAGAGGTCATCGTCTGCTACTGCAGTGTTACATTCAGTTTATCTCACTCCCAAGAATACTAGGTCAGATACAGAAGTTACAGTAACTGACTGAGCTGGGCATGGAGGTGCACGCTTGTGATCCCAGCACTGGGAGGCTGAGGAGCGAGGGTTACAAATTCAAGCCCAGGCCGGGCAATTTAGAGATTTAGCAAGACCTTATCTCAAAATGTTAAAAAAGGCTGGGAATGTAGCTCATGAATGCAAAGGGCTTTATCCTGTGTACCACCACCAGAGAGAGAGAGAGAGAGAGAGAGAAATGTCTTTTATTAAAATAAATTTTATTTTATCCCATTTCCTCCTCCCCTTATACACCCTCCCCTATGTACAAAAGCTTTGTTTCCACTTTTTCTTCTATTTTCACTTTTTTCCTTGTCCCTTCCTTCCTTTCTCCCTCCCCCCTCCCTTGTTCCTTTCCCCTTTAAACATTTTCTTCCTATTTCCCAATATCTATTATACATTTTAGTCCTTATGTCCACTTTGTTTCTCACACCAGAGAAACAATGAGATATTTAAATATGTGTGTTTGATTTATTTCACTTAAGAGGATGGTCTCAAGGTGCATCCATTTAGCTATAAATGTCTGAAGCTCGTCCTTCTTTATGGCTGAGTAGTACTCCAGTGCATAAAAATACATCTTTACGATTTTTAAACAATAAAGAGTTCTCAAAAAAACCCCCAACACATCTTGTTTATCCAGTCATCAATTGACAGGCATTTGGGCTGTTTCCAAGATTTAGCTGTTACAAGCTGTGGTGCTATAAACATGGGTGTACATATATCGCTGTGGTATGATGCTTTTAATTCTTTCAGGAAGATACCAAGAAGGGGAATAGCTGGGTCAAATGAGACCTCCAGCCCTCGTTCTCTGAGGAATCTCCACACTGATTTCCACAGTGATTGCACCAGTGTGCACTCCCACCAGCAATGCGAGTTCTTTTTGCCCACAGCCCCGCCAGCATTTGTTTTTGGTTGATTTTTTTTTTCCTGGTACCAGTGATCAAACTCAGGACCTTGTGCTTGTGAGGCAAATGTGGTACCACTGACCTAAATCCCTGGCACTATGGTTGATTTTTTTTTGGGGGGGGGGGTCGGGTACCGGGGATTGAACTTGGGTCCTTGTGCTTGTGAGGCAGGCGGCAGAACCACTGAGCTACATCCCCAGCCCTTATGGTTGATTTCTTGATAGCAGCCATTCTTTCTGGGGTGAAGTGGAATCTCAGTGTTGTTTTCACCTGCATCTCTCGAATGACCAGTGATGTTGAACATTTTTTCATATGTTTATTTGCTGCTTTTACTTCTTTGTCTGAGAAATGTCTGTTCATTTCAGATGCCCATTTTTGGAATGGGTCTTTAAATTTGGGAGGTCTGATTTGAGTTCTTTATATATTCTAGATAGTAGTCCTTTATCTGATGAACAGCTGGTAAAATTTTTTTTCGCACTCTGTGGGTTGTCTCTTAGCTCTGTTGGTGGTTTCTCTTGCTGTGCAAGTTTTTTTTTTTTTTTTGGTACCAGGGATCAAACTTGCGCTTGCGCAGCAGGTGGCGGAAACACTGAGCTAAATCCCCGGCCCTGTGCAAAGGCTTTTTAATCAGACAAGGTCCCAGTTGATTCTTCCTGTATGGTCTGGGTTTTGTTCATAGTCTTTTCCTATGCCAATGTCTTCAAGAGATCTACCTAACCTATCTTACAGCAGATTTAGTGTTTCTGTTTTAATATTTAGATCTTTGATCCATTTTGATTTTAGGTTAATGCATGGTGAAAGATATGGGTCTAGTTTTTATCTTAGGCATGTGGAAAACCAGTTTTTCCAGCACCATTTATTAAAGAGGGTATCTTTCTTCCAGTGAAGGTGTTTGGTTCCTTTGTCAAAGATGAGGTGGGTAAGTGTGTCTGGAGTTGTTTCTGCATCTCCTAATCTATTCCATTGATCCTCAGGCCCTTTTTTCCCCCCAGCACCATACTGTTTTTTTAATCACTGTAGCTTTGTAGTATAATTTCAAGTCAGGGATTGTGATATCCCTTGCCTTCCCTTTGTTAGTCTAGGTCTCTTCTGGTTCCTAATGAATTTTAGGATTATTTTTTCTAATTCTGTGAGATATTCTGTTGAAATTTTGATTGGGATTGCACTAAATCTGTATAATGATTTTGGAATTATGGCCATTTTCACTATATTGGTTCTTCCTATCCAGGAACACGGGATGTCTTTCCATTTTCTGATATCCTCTTTGATCTCCTTTTTCAGAGTACTGTAGTTTTCAATGTAAAGGTCTTTTACTTCTTTCATTAGATTGATTCCTAGGTACTTCATTTTTTGGGATGCTATTGGGAAAGGGATTGTGTCTCTAATTTTCTCTCTGTAAGTCTGTTACTTGTGTACAGGAAGGCTATTGATTTTTTCTTTCTTTCTTTTTTTTCTTTGCTATTTCTTGGCTATTGATTTTTGAATGTTGACTTTGTATCAAGCTACACCACTGAAATTGATTATCAAAGATAGATTTATTTGTTAAGCTATAGCCCAAGATATTTTGGCTCATCCTTGATGTCATAACCAGCCAAGGTCAGACAGTTCACAGGATCTTCAATACAAAGGCAGCTTCTTTAGAGAACTTGAGTTCATAGGGATCATTTAGGAAGTAAAATGGGCCCTGCCACTGTTAGGAGGGGGCCTGCTCAGGGTCACAGGGAGTGCATAATGGCTGGAAAACTCTCTAAGCTGCAGTATCAGCAGTGTGCCTACAGGGGGTGTCCCTCAGCCCAGGTAACCCCAGCACCCCCTGGGCCTCCAGCCTTTCACACTGCACTGCCACCTGCAGCTATGTGACATGAGTCTCTGAGGAGGGAGAGATGGCAAGCAGCAGAAGTCTGTGTCCTAGAGGGCAGTGAAAGCTCCCGGTGGACCTGGCTCCAGCATGAGCCAGGGGCCTGGCTTGTTTCCAGTAAACTCACCTGCGGCACTGACGGAGACTGAGGCAGAGACTGGCATTTGCTCAGGAGCGAGCATTTGGCTGAGGTTGGAAACTGTTGCTCTTTGGGAAGTAAGACCTGGATAAAGCATAGAGCTCCGGGCTTTTCCCTGGTGTGGGCTGTGTGCACACATAGTGTGTGTGTGTGGGATGGTCAGTGGCCTGTTGACGAATTTCTGCTTTTTGAAGAACCCCCCCCCTTGCCATTCCAATCCCAGGTTATTTTTCTTTTAACTTCAAATTCCAATTAAAAAAAAAACAACTCCAACATCTAGCACAGTGTTCCCCACTGAGCGGATGGGGAAACCATGTACTTGGCAGATCTGGGGCCTCTGTGGTCTGAATTGTTTCCTCTAACTTCATATACTATAGTGGAGCCCTAAACTCCTAATGTCACTGGCAACAGGACATACAAGGAAGTCACTCAAGTTAAATGAGGTCGTAAGTGTGGGGCTCTGATCTAACTTTTATCTTTGAAAGAAGAAACCTGGGCCGGGGATGTAGCTCAGTGGTACCGTGCCTGCCTGGCAAGCCCAAGGTCCCGAGTTTGAACCTTGACACCAAAAAAAAAAAAAAAAAAAAAATGGAAAAAAGAAAAGAAACGAAACACCAAGAACTGGAGGTGTGGCTCAGTGGTTGGAGTACTTTCCTAACACATATGAGGCTCTGGGTTTGATCCCCACCACTTAAAATAAAAACCTCCTGTGCTTTAAGCCTACCAGTCTATAGTGCATTACAGCAGCCTAAGCAGGCTAAGATTCGGGTTCCAGCAGCTCTCTGGCTCCTCCCTACATTGCCCCTCCAGGTTTCCAGAGGACCTGAGGCTCAGGTGATGCAGCAGTTTAAGACGCAGGACCCCTGCCCCATTCAGACAGTTCCCCCAATGCCATTAGAAGCATTGCGGTACCAACGATGGCCACCAGGTGGCGCTCACCCCACCACCCCAACATGGGCAGCTGCTGGTAGACTTGTGGATTTTACTCTATTTTTACCCTAATCCGCCTGGAGCAGAAGAGCACGTAAGGGCTGTAGCGTGGACCTGTACAGCTCTCCAAGTGTGATATCAGAGGCTCCATCAGAGGCTGTTAAAGGCAGAGTCCCAAGCCCAGTGCCGAGGCCCAGGAATCAATCTAAACTTTAACAAATTTGAGGTGCAGATCTGCACACTGAGGCCCGAGCCCAAGGCCTATGGTGCTGGAGAGAGATGAGCCTTTATTTTTGTCTGTCAACTGCAGCTCTGCCACCAACGTTGAGTTCTCCCCAGGATGGGGAGGGGTGTGGGAGTGGGGCACCACGGGGTAGGCTGCCGTTTCCCTCTGCTCCCAGTACCGTTAAAGAGGCATGAGAACCAGGGGACAATGAGGACACCAACCTCCCACCTTGGGAGACCTCTGAGGGCTGCAGGACCTTGGGTGGGGAGGTGGGGCCCTGGGTCCCGATCAGCTGGCACATCGCAAGGCAACTCCCCAGTACGGCCAGGCGAGGAGAGAAGTGGGTCCCGGCTGTCCTGCCCGGACCCAGGGGAAGCGGCTCCTTGGGACACTCAGGTCCTGGCCAAGGACCTCCAAGAACGCTGGCCGCCTCACCTCTCCTCCACCTTCCAGAACCAGCCCTGGCTCCCTCGACTAAGAAAGAAAACACTTCAGGGCGATTCATTTATCTCAAAACATATATTTACCTCTCCTCTCAGTACATCTTTGAGCACCTTGACAAATCTTCTAGGAAGGTGTAGGACCCCACCTGGTGCTCCACACCCTCCCTACCCCTTGGTGACGAGCCCCCTAACTGCGTGCACAATGGCATCCTTGTCGATACCAAACATCTTCAGCAGCTCGGCTGGCTTCCCGCTTCTTGGTACCTGGCTGACAGCCAGGCGGGTGACAGTGACTCCAGGCTCACCCATGACGGCAGCAGACACTGCCTCACCAATGCCACCTGGGCAAAAGAAAGGTGAGTCAGGAGAGCACTCAGGATGAGCAGGGCTTGGGGTGCAGCCCTACACCAGTCTGCTTGCTCCCCAAGCCAAGGGTGGCAGAGACTGTATGCTCTACACCCCTTGCCAGAGCAGACAGCGCTAATCAATCACAGTACTGTGGAATTTTTTTCTTCCCCAGTACTGGGATTAAACCCAGAGTATTCACACTGAGCTACACCCCCAGCCCTTAAGTTACCCAGGCTGGGCACAAACTTGCAATCCTCCTGCCTCAGCCTTTCAGAGTGCTGTACTGCAGATGTGAGTCAACATGTCTTGCTAGTATTTTTATAAGTCCAAATGAGACCTGCAAATCATTTTTTTAATCATCCTCTGGGCAGCCATCATCCACAGATGCCTGCACTTGAGCTCAGAGTGCAAGCCCATCCTTTCCTGCGGGCTTCTCGGGCGGAAGCAGATGCACCTGTAGAGGCTGCTTGGTGAAGGACTCAAGGCAGACACATTCAGCACCGCCTTCCCTGTTTGACTCTGCACAATGCTCATAACCTCCTTTATCTGAGCCCCAGAAGGGCCGCTGTGGCCCAGAAAATCCAGAGCTGCCCTCAAGCAGCCAGGACTCAGCCTCCTATCAGGTCTCAGGCTTGGCTTGAGGACCCAGCTAACTCACAGCTGTGGGTCCAGCTCCATGAGCCCTTCTCGCCCAGGTTGGCGGGGATTCCACCTCACTGCTCTGGCCCCAGGACCTTCCTTCCCCAGCCTCCCCTGACCCTGTGACGCAGGCCAGGTACCCTCATAGTAGTGGTCCTCCACCGTGAGGATCCTGCCCTTCGTAGCTCGTGCGCTGTCAAGAATGAGTTTTGTGTCCAGGGGCTTGATGGTGAAGGGGTCCAGCACGCGGATGCTGATTTTCTCTGTGAAGGGAGAAGATGCAGGGGCGTGGCTGATGGGGCCGGGCGGTGTGGCTCTGCCTGTGGGGGCCTCAGAGCCCCCGGGTGGGAGTGTCCCGTGGGTTGACACAGCTATGAGCCCACAGACCTGTCCCTATCCCTGGGAGGACCAATGGCTCCCCGGTCCCCATTGCTGAGCTTATGCCTGCCAGCCCCTCCGGGGATCTCAGGCCGCTGCAGGGCCTGTGGGCTGTCCAGAAAGGCAGGGTGGGATGTGTGGGGCCTGAGACGGGGAAGGTTTAGGGGGTGATGGGAGGGGAGCTGTGCCCACAGAAAGGAGGGTACCAGGGTCTGGGGAGCACCCAGCAGAGCGACCTTCTCAGAGGGAAGAGCTCAGCCTCCCTCCAGCTCCTCCAAGCTCTGCACATGCCACCTGCTGTCGTCCCTGTTCTGCTCACCAATCCCTGCCCACTCGGAAGTCACCTTACTAAGGATGCCATGCCCCTGGCTCCTCACTTCACATGGTGCTCGGCAAGGCTGAAACGGGCCGTGGTTGGTGACCCACTGCAGGAGGCGAATGCCTGTCCCTGCTGCACTAACGCTAGCTGACATCTGCAAGCCCAGAGTGGTAACGGATGATGATACCAAGCCACACTTAGTCCTCGGGAGAGACCTACTGGAAAGTGCAGTGCAGTAGCTCCATTTCACAGGTGGGGAAACCGAGGCACAGTGATGGTAAATAATAGGCTAGTGCCTGGATGAGCTGAGTCGAGCCCCAGAGCCCCATCAGCAGGCTCCAGGCCCCTGGCCCGACCACCCTGCTAAGGCTACGGGTGGGGACTGTGGCCACTGCGGCCTCAGGAATCAGCATCATACTGGGCACGAGAGTCTCAGCCCCAAGACCGAACAGACAGAAGCAGACCCGTCGGCTGTGGGGTCGCTTTCTCCTCACCTGTCTTCAGCAGCTCAGCGGCAGCCAAGGCCTCGTGCAGCGTCACCCCAGCCCCGATCACGGTCACCTGGTCATCCTTGTTCTTCAGAACCACCTGGGGGTGACACGGGGAGTCGGCGAGGCTCAGGGCCTGGGAACCAGAGTGGTGGAGGGAGGCTCAGCACCACCACGGACGGGATCTCACTGAGACACAGACGGCACTGACCTTGGCTTGTCCAACCTGGAAGTCCTCACTGCTGCTGTAGACGATGGCGTTTTCCGGGCGGCTAGTCCGGATGAAGCAGATGCCCTACGATCAGAACAGGCACACTGAGGAGCACAGGACACAGCACCTCTGGCGTCAGAAGGCCGTGTCTTTCTAGATTTACCCTGCCTACATGCCGATCTCTTCCAGCCCATCACTACTCCAGCAGGGATAAAGAGCCTGCCCGCCTGCCCTGCAGCCTGCACCTCGCTGAACACTCCTGACAGCATCTGTGACTCTGCCGGTCCCGGACCAGAAGCAACTTCCTACCAGGTGGCCTGGATCTGGGTGGGGCCGCTCCCCGGGAATGTGTTGTAGGCCCCCAGTCTACCAGGAGAGGAACAAGAACCACTCGGTCACAGTCTCCTGCAGAGTCAGGGGACAAACTGGCAGAGGATTCTGGATTCTCAGCAAGGAAAGGGAACAGTGATTGATGGATTGGCAAGGTCTTCCTTGGGACAGTAATAATTGTATGTGTTGTCCTGGGCTAATTTCTTCAAGCTACACAAACATCAGGAACAAAGTCGGGAAATAACTTCTCTGGAGCATCAAATGACCAGCTCTGAAGCTCCATGCTAGGATCCTCTTATGTCCCCTAGGGAAGAGCTGTCTGCCAGCCCAAGAGAGAACAGCCATGGGACCAACCTTTGTGTTGGCTGCTAACTCCACCGCCTTCTCTGTGGCAACTCCATCACTTGGGTAAAAGACAGTTGACATGGGAACTGCCCGAAACATGGCGAGGTCCTCCAGGGCCATCTGAGAAGGCCCATCTTCCCCTGGGGTGCGACAGGAAAAGAAGCTAAAGTGAGATCCCCCATCCGTGGCTTTCCCTCTCCTGGAATCCTGGCCCCGACTCTCCCCATACCTTGTGTCCAAAGCCAAGGGAAGCTCAGGGGTAAGGAAGCCTGGCAGCTGTACTCACCGATGGACACGCCACAGTGGGAGCCGCACAGGTTGACGTTGCTCTCTGAGATGGCCGCCATGCGGATCTGGTCGAAGGCCCGCGTGAAGAAGGCTGCGAAAGTGCTGCAGAAGGGCACGGTCCTGTTCCGCGTGGCACAGCCAACGGCAATGCTCACCTGGAGGCGGACGGGCCAGGTCAGCCGCAAAGAGGCAGGGAGAGCAGGTGCCCAGGGAGCCCAGGCCACCCTTTGGTGACAGGAGGACCCTGTGGTCCTAGAATCTGTTAAGGCCACGCAAGTGGCTTCTGTACACCCACCTGCTCTGCAGTCTAGCATTCTCTGAAAGTTATTTTCCTTTGCAACACTTTCCCCGTAACAAGCAAACCCTGTCACCAAGAAGGAGAAAGCCTGCAGACTGTCCCTTCTCCCCAGGCTTCTAGACACCCCCCTCTCTCGGGAGCCCCAAGGCCTCTGCAGAGACCAGTCCCCCACCTCCTGGGGCTGAGGGCAGTGGCCCCTTGCCCAGAACTCCTGAGCAGTCAGTCATCAGTTCCAGACCAGCTGCCTGGCCCATGGCTCTGAACCCTGCCAGGTAATGGGAACCCTCTTTCCCTAGTTTCTGGGGCTGCTGTAGCCCCCACTCTCTGCCAGTGTAGACTGGACTTTCTGGAAGGCACACACACAACTGCAGGGAGCAGTGCAGAAAGAACTTTGGAGAGGCTAGTGGTCTTTAGGAGTAAAGTTCCTGTCCCTAGGGATGTGCAAAACTAGGCTGGGCTCCTGAGCTAGAAGAGGGGTGATTTTGAAAAATGAGTAAGGACACTGCTCCTTATTTCACAAACTCGGTTCCTGCCAAGTGGTTGCCTCCCCAACTGCCATGTGTCAGGGCCAGAGCTCAGCAGAGTGGCCGCTGTGCCCATCCTGGTTCAGCCTCCTGGCCATGTGGCTGTCTACCCCAAAATGTTCTCACCATGCAGTTACCGCTGCACACCTCTGCGGCCCTCTTCAGGTCCTCCATTTGCATCTATCCAGTACATCTGCTCCTTGGCACAACCACCCTGAGTTGTGGCTGCTCAAGGTCAAAGTCAGAGCCATTCTTGGTCTCCCTGGGCTGGCCTCTGGCACTGCTGATGCGGCTGCCCAAGGAGGCAGGGGGCTCAGCCATGTCCCTGCACCCTCACACTGAGGCTCTGTAGCTGCGGCTGGACTGCGCCCCTCAACCCACTCCTGGCACCCACCATGTTCTGCTCCGCGATGTAGCACTCGATGAAGCGGTCAGGGTGCTCCTTTTTGAAGATCTCTGAGAAGGTGGAATTCTTCGTGTCCCCATCCAGGGCGATGATGCGGTCACTGCCATGGCCCAGCTTGGCCAGCGCCTGCCCATAGGCCTTGCGGGTGGCTATCTGTGGGGAGGAGAGCGGGCAGGCTCTGAGTATAGCCAGGGCATGTGTGGCCTGGAGCCCTGCCTGCCTCTGACTCCTGAGGCTTTTAGGGAAAAGAAGGAAGGATAAAAACAGAGGCAGAAAGAAGCAACACCAGGGCCTCTGGACTCCTGTAAGGTTGCCAACAGCTATAGTGAGTGTCTTCAGTCCCGGAAGTCCCTCGGCCCAGCCCCGCTTATAAAAGATGTCCTACCAACCCCACTTCCCCACCCCTTCCACTCATCTGCTTTAGTCAGGAATGTCAGGGGCCTGGGAGTTGGCTGCACTGACGGGCTCACTCAGGGCAGGGCCCTATGGACCAAGGACACAAGGACTTGCGAGTCCTCGGCTTTGTTCTCATGCCCCAGCAGCTCACTGTGTGGCTGTAGGCAAGTCTCTTGCCCTCTCTGAGCCTCTGCAGATAAATCCCAGAGCTGGCTGTCCCTAGGAGGGAACCTCAGGGCTCCTTTCTCATCAGACTAATCCCTTTCCCTCCAGAAGGTACATTTTGGCCTTGGCGAGTTGGAGAACTGGGACTGCCCCACCTCCAGCCTGTCCAGAAAAGCAAGGCCAACAACCCACCTTGTCCCCAACTTTGTAGCTGGGCGGAGAGGGCATGCGGATGTTGGCGATGTCCACCGAGGGGGCGTCCTCCTGCGGGGGAGTGGCCATGATCTTCTTTTTGCTCTGGATCTGGCTGTAGATTTCCTGGATGGTCTGTTCAGCCATGTTTTTGGGGAGGGGCTTCCCGTGCCAGGACTCCTTATCCTCTATCCCTGCAGGCAGAACACGGAGGACAGAGGGAGGTGAAACACAAGCTCCCACGAAGCCTGGAAGCTGCCTGCTGCAGGAGGCCTTCCCGAGGGAAGGAAAGAAATGGTGGGGTTGCACCGGGCACCAGGACAGTCAGCAAGGAGGGCTGCAGAGGGCTGGAGCCACCCATGTGCCTCCAGGGCACTTCCTGGCTCTCCAGGGCCCAGCCGAGTGGGGAGGAGAGGGATGGGGCAGCGCCATCCTCTCCACCACCCACTCCTCCCGGGAAGGCAGAGAGGGCCGCCGTGAAGCTGCAGACTCCATGTGGGAGGGACCCTGGCCGTGAGAAGGGGAAGCTACCGCTGAGGTCACCGGCTGCATCTTCTAAGCAGCACAAAAGGGCCTGCAAGCAGCCTCAGAGCCTTGCTGTGTGGGCCAGTCAGGCTCAATATCCCGCTCTCGAGTCACCTCAGGTGCTGTCATAGCCTGGCCAGTCCAGGACAGCAGCCCTTCCAGGCAGGATCCGGCAGCTCCAGACTACTTGCAGCCCCCAGGGAGCTCGAGGACCCCAGATTCTGCCTGGTAGTGAAGCCGAGGGGTCAGTGCCCGGCAGTGGCCTGAGACCTCAGCGATGTCCCAGAGTCCTTGTCCCCATGTCCGCCCCTCCCAGGAGCTTCCCAGCCCTACAGCAGCGGCCTCACACATCCAAGTCCACACAGGCAGGCGGCTGGGCAGTCAGAGGCATCTGGCATGAGAAGCCAAGCCAGAGCCTGAAATCGGGCCCCACAGTGCCACAGACTTCCTTCTGTCACTAGGAAACTTAAAAAAAAAAAAGTAACAGGGCCGGGGATTTAGCTCCGTGGTCACAGTGCCTGCCTTACAAGTGCAAGGTCCCGAGTTCGATCCCCGGAACCCCCGAAAAGAGTTCTGTCCCACCTCTGTGTCTCTCAGTGCCGGGGATCAAGCCCAGGGCCGTGCACATGCTAGGCCACATGCTCTACCTACCACTGAGCTACTCCCAGCCCCAGTACTTCATTCATTCTTTTTGTTGTTTGGGGTTTTTTGTCTGTGACTGAACCCAAGGCCTAGATCCCCAGGCCTATTTGACTCTATTTTTTATTGTTTTGGTACTGGGGATTGAACTCGGGGTCCTTGTGCTTGCGCAGCAGGCAGCAAAACGCCTGAGCTAAATCCCCGGCCCGCGACTATTTTACTTGGAGACATGGTCCTACTAGGTTGCTCGGGTTGGCCTCAAACTTGTGACCCTTCTGCCTCAGCCTCCGCAGGAGCTCTGTGTACCACGGCACCTGACGATTACAGTCATTCTACCTGGGGTAAGACGGTATCTCATTGCCCCTAACCATTTCTAGCGCCCTTTTCCATTTTAAAATGGGCAAAAGCCATCCCAGGCCCAGGGTGGGTACAACCCACAGCCCTGGGTGCTAGGCAGACTTGTGTCTGCCCTGCTCTTGGAGCTGGAGCAGGAACCACCTTCCAGACCCGCACAAAGGTCCCTGCAGAGCACTTCCTACTGCTTGAGGGGTGCACACCTCTCTGAGGGGAGAGCCCAGGGCTTTCCAGGCCCCCGAGGCTGGTCATGCCAGCCCGTCAGCTCAGACAGCCAGGGTGAGGACACAGGGGCTGCTCACTCAGCGAGCTCTCTGCCCGCAGCCCCGCTCCAAGTTCCTCCTCCTCCCTGTCTGCACCTGGCGCTCAGCTGAGAACAGGCTGACCAAACTTCGGTTAAGCCGAGCAGACCTGCGTCACCTTGGGGAGCATAGCACCTCCTGCTCCCTTCCCTGGGGCCCAGGTGTTCAGACTGTAGCCAGGGGCTGGTGTTTCCCCAGGCACAGGTCCCGGGGCAAGCGGAGAGAGGCAGGTGTGGGATACAGACCTGTGATGCCTCTGCCCTTGAAGGTCTTGGCGATGATCGCTGTGGGCTGGTGCTTGGCCTGCCCGAAGGCCTTGCACAGCTCCTCCACGCTGTGTCCGTCCACAATGATGGCGTGCCAGCTAGGAAGAGGGGCTGGGTGAGGGGCAGCCCGGTGCCGGAAACCCAGGGATGGGCGCGGGGCTTGCAGAGTGCCCCAGGCACAGCTGCAACCTGAGCTAGGAACCCTAAGACGCTGCTGTTTCCAATTTGGGTGTTCCTCCTTTTCCTGCCTTTTCGTATTATTTTACTTGCTTTTGTTTGCCTTTGAACAGGTTTCCCTCCTCTTTTCTGAAGTAATTCAAAGCTTAGTTCATGTACTGTTTTCTCCATTCCTGATCTACTCATTTCCTACTGAGAGCCGTTCTGAGCACAGTGAATGAGGTTTCGAATCTGTCTATTAGGTTCTTGCGGGATTTTTTAATTTGGCCCAATTTTTATTTGGAAGAGACATTTTCATTACTCCACAGCTGGTGGATATGGTGCTGGACACTTTAATGAAGCAGTGAGGGCAGGGCAATGTTATTTAAGCAGTCTTTTCCTGGACTCGTGTGGGCACGTTAATAGAAAAGGCACCAGTGAAGTGAACACGTACCAGGTGCTCACACTGCACAGGCTCCATGCGGAGCACTACTGCTCATTAAGCTCCCAACCCAAGGGGAGCCACTGTTGCCCCATTTTACAGATAAGTAAAGCTGAGACACCAAAGGCCAAATGATTTGCCCAAGGTCACAAAGCCAGTTAGTGGTGGAGCTGGGACCTAAGGAATCTGGCTTCAGAGCCTCCGGGCTACGGACACAGTGCCCTGGAAGTGCTGTCTGGGTCACATGCCAAATGCCCAGACCGATGTGGCCTTGGGGAGTGCCTGGGGGACTGGTGGCTCCGTTTCCTCACGTGTCCTCTCTGTCTAAGGGAGAGAATCCTCCCTCATCCATCCTCTCCCTTCATACGGTTGGTCATCAGAAACCACAGAGCCAGGCCTGCTGTGTTACAAGGTGACCTTGACGTCCCGTCAGTCTGACATCATCATGGGCAGACTCATCCCGCTTCCTGGCCCACAGGAGAAGCCCTCCCTTTCCAGGCCTCCTACCAGCAGCGGGGCAGAGGACGGAGACGCCGAGGTGAGTGACCCCACCCTGTGACACCTACTCACGGGCCTCTGTGCTCTGGGACATCACCTGAATTCCCGATCACAGAAGGACCTGGGAGGAGTCCAGAAACCCCCTCTTGTGCTGCACTAGGAACAGGCTGGCTAGGGCCAGCACAGCAGATGGCCTCCACACTGATGTGCACCTCTTCATAGCTACGTGTCCTTCAGCCTGGCTGCACCCTTCTCCCTGTTTTCCCCCAAGAACCAAGCAAAGCTACACGCAAAGCTCTCTGAGAACTTTCCTGCCACACAACCACATGACTAAAGACCCTTATTTAAGCCTGGGCCTCAATCCATAAATCCATGGTGGGAAACTGTGCGCCCCCTGAGTCCAAATGCCTGGAAGTCTGGAATTGTAAACCAAAATGCTACCACAGACCTTTAGGTGGGGCTTGACCTTTAGGTGGGGCTTATCCTCTGGGCTTCGCTTCCTGCCTCCACAAAGCTTCTATCACAGCGACTCCTAATGCTGTGAGCACACTCAGCCCCCGCCTTGTACATACCCAAAAGCCTCACAGCGCTTCTGGTAGACGTCCACCTGGTGCTGCAGTGGAGCAGGGTCACTCTGCCCCAGGCGGTTGATGTCAAGAATGGCCACAAGGTTGTCCAGCTTGTAAATGCCAGCAAAGGCCATGGCCTCCCACACGGAGCCCTCGGACAGCTCCCCATCACCCAGCATGCAGTACACGCGGTAGCTGTGGAGAGAAGGCGGGGGGGTGGGGGTGGCTAGTCCCTCTCCCCTGGGCTGTCAGGCCCAAGGAGCTTGCTCTCTGGGCAGAGGCACAGCCCACATGGATGTGATGAACACATAGCACCTCTGTGGAGGAGGAAACAGCAGCATCCAGTCCCAATCCACACCCCACAGGGAAATGGCTGTGCAGGAAGCGACCCAGATCCCCAGAAACTGGCTGCGCTAAGATAAAGGGGGCTGGGGACGAGCTCAGTGGTGCAGCACTCGCCTAGCACGCATGCGGCCCTGGGCTCAATCCCCAGGGACACACACGTACAGGGGGACTGGGGACTGCAGGATGGGAAGGGCTAACCCACCCAAGGCAGAGATGGTGACTCCAGGGACTCACTGAGTGGACCAGCTGAGGAGAGCCCTTGGGAACCAGGCTGTTCCTGCCAGGAAGAGCTGGGCTAGGGAGCACAGTGCAGGCCAGGCGACACCCTGGACAAGAGGCCCGGGGGCCCGAGGACAGAGCGGTGCAGGGCGGGGACCAGGTGCATCGAGGCAGGCGCTCCTGGGCCCTGTGAGGACTTTGTCCTCCCTCAACACAGGCCAGCGTGGCCTCTTAGGGCAACAGACAGACACTTTTAGACACGGGATAAAGGACCCAGAGACCAGGGCCTTCCTTGGCCCCAGGGAAGGGTACTACGATGAAGGGAGTGAGGCTAGCAGCAGGGGGACCAGTTCAGGGACTCTGACTCCAGGCCCAGGAAATGTGGGCTGATGGAGGAGCAGCAGCAATAGGGACAGGAAGAGTAGCTCCCGTCATGGGGGCCCATGGCTTGGGGACCCACTTTTCTCTGCCCAGCTCCAGCTGTACAGCCCCAGCTAATAAGGCTGGCAATTGGCTGGGCTCAGACAGGACAGTTACCCTGCCTGGGGCTACAGGGAAAGGCCCTCCTCCAGCTACAGAGGCTGCCATTCAGGCCTCATCTTGCTCTAAGTCCACACACAGGAAACAGGAGGGAGAGCCAGGCGGCCCGGAGCTGACAGCATGACTCAGCACTTCCGCAAGCCTCCTCCAGGGTCTAGCGCTTCCTTCTAATCCTTCCCCCAGGCCAGACTGTTGTTTTCCTGGCCAGAAGAGCAAGGCCCCATGGCCTGCACAGAGGTCCTATTGGACCCTGATTCTTTGAAACTGGGTCTCTCCCTCTCCCTGAAGGTTACCAGGGACTCGGAGACCTTAAGGGGCCCTGGTCTGACACGGCAGCTCCCAAGAGGGATCACCCCAGAGAGGCCTGCAGGAAACCTGGCCTCCCACACAGGGATTCCGGGCAAGCGCACTGGCTGCAGCTCTGAGCCTAACCCACTTCCCAGGAACTTGGACCACAGCTGAGTGGAGTCACAACTGGGGACAAGGCTAGCCCTGAAGGTCCAACAGCCCCATGCCAGGAGGTCATCCTGGTCCTAGATGTTGTAAACAGGAAAGGGGACCTACAGAAGCCCAGGCTGATGCCCAGCTGCTACTGCCTGAGCTGTTAGACTTAGGCGTGGGGGGTTACAAACGTTTTTATGAGCTACTTTCAAGGGCTGGGACGTAGTTCAGTGGCATGGTGATTGTCTAGATGCTCAAGGCCTTAGGTTCAATCCTGGGGTGGAGTCGGGGGTGGGTATGGAAAAGGACCAAGATGGGACCCTAGCTCTTGACAGTTGATATTGTGAGAAAATGCTTGTGCTAGAAGGTTCGGGTTTTTTTTTTTTTTTTTTTTAAAGCAGAAGTTATATATACTAGGATTATTAGGTTGTAGTTCTGTGGGGTTTTTTTCCCACAAAGAAACTAGGTGTGGTGGTGCACACTTGTAATCCTAGCAATTCAGGAGGCTGAGGCAGGAGGATTGCAAATTTGAGCCTAGTCTGGGCAATATAGAAAGATCCTGTCTCAAAATTTAAAAAGGTCAAGGCGCTGGGGATTAGCTCAATGCAAAGGTCCTGGGTACAATTCCCGGTTATCCCAACAAAAAGAAAAAAACCACAATATATTGTTAGATTTAAATGGTTAGGAAAAAGAAAAATGTCCGTTTTTTAAATACTGTTCTCTTTCAAATGAGATGGCAGGGAGAAACAGTGCCAGGGGCCTGGTCTGCTCTGTCAAGATGCTACCTTGGGGTGCCTGGTGCATCCTGATAATCTCTTGGTGACCTGGCGTGGCCCCCGCCCCCAACCAGGCACAGTGTTCGGGCTGAGGCCTCAGCCAAACACGGCCCCTGAGAACCCAGCTAGACCCCTTCTCCCTAAACTGGCTGGTTCCATTCTGCTAGGGTCAGTAAATGATCCTTCATGGGGAATTATTTCAGCCAACTGCAGGGAATAATTAATTCACATCTCTGGTTCTAGGACAAATAAAGTGTTCTTAAACATAGATCCCATTCTTTGACTCTTCATTTCATGGGGAATCGATTCTGGTCCCAGCCAAGCCTGTCCCAAAGCTCAGCCAGGGCCAGCAAGCGAAGGCTTGGTGCCAGGTGTCCCTAACCGAGGGGGGTGCGAGGGTGCCTGTCTGAGGGCTCCCGGAGAGCTGTCTCCGAGCCCTGCCCATGAAGGCAGCCTGCACATGACAGGCACTTCCCAGGGCCCAGCAGCTCCCGGCAGCCACCGTCCTCAGAGGCCGCTCACTGCCGGCCCCGGGAGAGCCCTGCCGAGGCTCCTGCCAGGGAAGCTCCTGCCTATCTGGTTCCACTCTTGCCTGCTTCCCAGGGCCTCTCAGAGCAGCCTGGGGACTCTGAAAATGCACTCTTGCTGCTGCTAAGCGCTGACCTGAGGACTTCCACCAGCATCTTCCCAGATTCCTCATCTGTACGAGGATAAGTAACTGTGCTCACACAGGGACTGGTCAAGGGGAACCCGATATAGCACATGAGCGCTGGGCCTGGCTCCCAACAGGGGAAGGAACAAACCATTCTGGCAAATGGTTATACACCCCCACCCGACCCCACACTGGGGATTGAACCATGGGGCATTAAAATACTTTCTTTTTTAAGACAAGGTCTTGCTAAATTGTCCAGGCTGGCCTTGAACCTAGGATCCTCCTGCCTCAGCCTATGGAACAGATAAGATTACAGGCGTGTACCAGCACACTGTGACATGGGTGGTTATTCTCAACAGCCTGCAACCCCACATCCCCCAGCAGAAAGCAGGCCACAGTAAGTAATGCTATGGCAGCAGGGTGTGATGCCTGTAACCTCAGCACTCGGTAGGCTGAGGCAGGAGGACTGCTGAGTTCCAGCCTGGGCTGCACAGTGAGTTCAAGGCCAGTCTGAACTGCACAATGAGACCCTGCATCAAAACAAAACAAAAAACAACAAAAAATCAATAGCACAATGGCTGGAATGTCTTAAGAGCAGCACGTACATGTGAAGGGGGTCGGGGGTTCTTCCTACAAAGTGCCTGGTGCCCAATCAGCAAACCCATGGGCCAGGCTGCTGACCCTCCCTGCAACTCTCAGAACTCTCAGCTTCTCCCCTGACTGATGAGATGTGGCTGAGTGCTCTGGCACCTTCTAGAACACAGGAACTCAGCCAAGCACTCTGCCCACGTGCACAGGCTAGAGCCATGTGCTCGGGGTGTAAATGTGGCCTGCTTCTCACTGCTCAGGGCTCTGACAGGCCCTCGGCACTCACCTAGAAAGGGTACCGGGCTCAGTACCCTCCTCGGCGGGTCTCTGAGTACACAGCAGGCCACAGATGTCAGCCTCAGCCAGGCAAGAGGCGGTGCCAGGGAGGTGACTAAGGGCGGGCCACTGAGGACCCTTCCCAGATTCTGGAGGGTGTGGTGGCAGAGGGGCGGTTACCTGGCTTTGTCGAAGTATTTGCCGGTGTAGGCCATTCCACAAGCGGCCCCCAGGCCCTGGCCCAGGGAGCCAGTGGCCACATCCGTGAAAGCTTGTTTCTGTCAGGACAGAGAGCCAGTTACTCACAGGTGGGAGAGAGCAGCACACGGTCTCAAGTCAACCCCAGCCCCCACCCAGACCCAGCAAGCCACCCTCCCGAAGGAGGCCGCCCCCAGGACAGGCCGCCCCCAGGACGCGGCTTCTCATTCTCATACCAGAGTCCTCTAGCAAGCTGTGTGACTGAAGGCTGGGGACTAACCCTTTCTGAGCCCTAATCAGTCTTGCCTGTACAAAGTCCACCAGATAAAATGGCTGGAGAATTCACCATAAAACTGACGTAGAATGTTGCACCCAGACCACGGTGATGGTTTCTGCGGGATGCCAGCTGGCACCCTGAAGAGCGGGCAGGGCTCCTCTCCTGGGCATCACCAGCGTCCTGCTCCTACCTCCCTGGTGAGGTGCCTGTGGACCGCTAGCTGGCCGGGACTCAGTGGGGAGGGGTCCCGGAGGGGACCTCCTTGAAGTCCACCAGAACAGGTTGGCTAGCGGCTCAAAAGGACCTGCCCTTTGCAACACTTGGGGTGAATGCAACGTACCCCTTAAACCCACATCTTTCCTTCCTCATCTCAGTCTCCCCTGCTGCCTTTCAACACCTCCAGCTTCTCAGTGGCCTCCCCTGCCCCTCCTTCAGACCAGCGAAAGAGGAAGGAGAAGGGCACAGCCTGGGGAGGTGGCTGCTGGTGCACTGACCGGGACAGGGTGTCCATCCAGATCGGAGCTGATCTTCCTCAGGTTCAGCAGCTCCGCCTCGGGCAGGAAGCCAGCTTCAGCCCAGACAGCATACAGGATGGGAGCCGCGTGGCCCTGTCGGGAGGTGGGCGAGAGGAGTCAAATGGAGAACTCAATGTGGGGCTGTCCCTGCACACTGACGCCCAGGACGTGGCTGAGCTGTGGCCAGGCATCCGTTTCAGGGGAGGAAGCCCGTGAGGGCCACTTCTCCCCTTTCATCTCTCTCCAGCCTCTTGGTTTTCAGCCCACAGTTCCCACAGCTGCGGCTGGGCAGGCACTAAAACAGGTGCGGGGCACAGCTGTGCAACTGGATGAGGCCAAATCCCCAGCAGGCGGCCGGCCGCCCTAATCCCTGGTTTCTGGCACCGGAGGGACTTGGACAGACTTCTGAGCTCTAAATCCTGCCCCAAGAGACCAGAGGCTGCGGGGCCAGGCCTGGGGCAACCGTGGCCCAGCTCATGGCTGCTCTCTTACCAGGAAGGGGCAAGGCAGGGTGCTCTACCAGTTCTGCTGCAGTCAGAGGGCTGGCATGACACAGAAAGACTTGAGTAGAAAGCCACGGTGTGAATGGAACACTCCAAAGAAACATGGTTTCCACTGTCCCCGACCCCATTCCTTGGGTTAATGTACCTAGACCCCATGGAAGAGTAACTCATTAATTCAGTCATATATTCCTTAGCTTGGGGTAAGTTTACCAGCTGGGTCAGCACCACAGCAAGACGCAGAGAGGGACCAAATTGTGCAGGTGGAGAGAAAAGACTCCTGGGGGCGGTGGGCCAGGTCTCCTTAGAGACTGCTCATCATTCCAGGCTCGCAAGACGCCGGCCCCTATAAGGTGTGGCTGGCGGCGGGCAGCGAGGTGCTCACCTTGGACAGCACAAAGCGATCGTTGTTAGGGTTCCGAGGGTCCAGGGCCTTGTAGCGCATGGTGTGGAAAAAGAGGACAGCCATAATCTCAGCAGCACTGCAGCAGGATGTGGGGTGGCTGCGGCCAGGAGAGAGGAAGACATGTATCAAAGCCCCAGTCCCGACCGACAGAACCCACCCAGGCCTGAGTACAGGGGCCTGGGCGGTCACACAGCTCGGCTGTCATCGAGCCACAGGCTCCTGCTCCCTGGGATGGTGGCACAGGGTCTCAATGAGGCCACTGCTAGTGACCAGGGAGCTGGGCCAGCTAGCAGGTCAGGCACTGTCACACCTCCCCAAGGACCTTAGTTACGGCAATGGCCAAATCCCAGGGCCTGGCTGGACTGAGAAAGAGAGGGACCCAGGAGGGATGGAGACAGCAGACCCAGCCTAAAGCTGCCCCACGGCAGGGAGGGGAGCTGGGGAGGGGCTAGTGTGGAGGGCCGTTCCACCCACGGCCCCTGGTAGGAATCTAAGAGCTCCTCTGCAGCTAAACGGTGAGCCCCATCTCACTGGGAGTGCCTAGGATCTGCCCAGTCGTGGGGGAACACTCACCCTCCCACCCCCAAAACACGGGTCCTCCGGCCATGGGGCAGGGAGCCAGGGCCTGGTGAGGCTGAGTCACTACAAACCTCCCAGCAGCCTCGACACAGGGGTTTGGGCAGTTTTAGGAGCCTGAGAGATTTGGTTTCAGATCTTTAATCACCTCACTGTGGTACTTGATAGCTTTTTAAATGGGCACTTTGAGGGCCGGTGTGGCACGTGGAACCACGTTTTTGTGTAGAATTTTAAAAGCAAACTACACAGCCTCATCTTCTACAGAGGCTACAGTCATGACAATAAGACCCTTCGTGCCAGCAGACAAGGGTCGAATGGGGCCAACAAAACCAAGGATCTAACCTTCTGGCCCTGGAGTGAGCCCAGGAAGCCCCCATATTAGACTCTTGCTCTAATAACTCAATAGCTCTCTTGAGCAAATGAATGCATACCAGAAAGTGTGAGGACCACATCCTAGAGAGGAGACCTGTCTGGCTCTCTCAGTACTCACTCGGTAACCCAGGCCCTGGCCCAGCACAGGCGGAGGCTGGCTTTCCTCTGGGACATCTGGCGGTTCCTGGCTAGGCTGCTGCCCTCTGGACCACAGCTCTGCTCAGAGGTCAGCCCCAGGCTGCGCCGTGAGGTGCTTCACACCAGGACAGGACATGCCCGACGCCAAAGCCAAGGCCACATGCCACACCGGGGCCCTCCCAGCCTGCCTCCCACCACCAGGGGGCGCCTTTGAGGTTAAGGGTGAGTCACTCCCAGCACAGACATTAGTAAAGGAATCCGGAGAAAGGTTCATGCTGGTTTAGTACCACATCCCCAGCACACAACCATCTCATACTTAACCATGTCTACGAACTCCCGGTCATGGGAAAAGACACTACACCTGAAAGAGGGAGGTGAGGACATGTAAACAAGAAACCCTTTCCTGCCTGGCCAGGACTCTAATCTCTCTCTCCCGGGGCTGACTTCATCTGGAAGATACTGCAATAAGCAGCAGTCAGGTGGGCCTCCTGCCTTTCCCACCTGCAAGGGGCCTCCATTCCCAGGGACCCTGCTTGACAAGTCAGGGCCCCGTTATGAGGAAGCCACAGTAGGGGAAGGAAGGAAGGAAGTAGGTGGATTCTGGGCCAAACTGCCCACAGGACCTTGAGGAGCTCTGCCCAATCCTTCCATCCTTGACCCCGGGGTGACATTCCCACATGGGCCCTAGGGAGGGCTCCAGGAAGGGGTGCGGGCAGCACAGGTGCTTTCTGCATGTGGCAGAGGCATGCTCAGGCTGAGGCAGAAGGGACACACAGAGAGGAAAGTGGTCAGTCATGAGAAGGTGGAAGTTGGAAAATAAATGGCGACTGCATTTAAGTCCTCCTTGGCAGGTGCTTGGGAGTGGGCCTGCAATATTTCACTCCCTCCAAAGCCAAGCCTGGCCAGCTGCTGACACCGTCTTCACACCCACCAGGTAAACCCAGGACCAGGCTTCCTCTCCATTCCTCCCCAATCTTTAGGTCTTTTTGAGGTTCTCACTCTGCAAAGTGCCCTGGGCTGGGGACACGCGCTGTGCCACTGAGCTGCATGACTTGTTGGTGTCACCTCCCTGACCTTGACTTCTCTTGCACATGGGGAGGCCATGAAGGTGCCTGGGGAACCTAGTGAGAGAATGCATGCTAAGTGCCCTGTCACCAACGGCCAGGGGACCAGGTGCCTCCAAATCCTCTTCTGTGGGCTGGGACCGTGACCCACAGGCAGATGAGAAGGAAGAAATGAGCCATAGGGCCGGGGAGTTAGCTCAGTGGTGCTGCTGCCTGCCTCACAAGCACAAGGTTCTGAGTTCGATCCCCAGTACCAAAAAAAAAAAAAGAAAGAAAGAAAGAAATGAATCAAGGGTTGCGATAGGATTCTCTACACTGTAAAGTACTGAATATGCAAGATTCCTAGCTAGTTTTGGGTAAGCTCAGCCTATTAGCTCAACCTCTATCTAGCTGGTCAGAAGCATGGGAGTCTGTGGCCTCAGAGCCTGAGCTTTCCAGCAATCCTGCTGGCCTCGACTAGAAAGCTGCAGACAGGCCCGCCTTGTGGTACCTCTTTGACACACCTGAGGAAGCTGATGGCTACAGAAGGGCTGAGGGTCAGATGGAGGCTCTACCCTACCACCCATCTCTTTGTGCTGCACGGGGATTATAGGCAAATTTAAAAACCCTGATATGGGCCTGAGGGTGTAGCTCAGTGGAGGAGCCTGGCCTGGCATATGCAAGGTCCTGGGTTCAATCCTCAGTACTGAAAGAAAACAAAACAAAAACCCCACAAACCACCCTGTAGGTGTGGCGGTGTGCACCTGAAATTCTGGCTCTTAGGGTTACAAGAGGATTGGGAGTTTGACAGCAGCCTTGGCTACAGGAAGAACCCAAGGCGAGCTTGGACTACGATTAAGACCTTGCCTCAAACCACTAAACAAATAGCTCCAACTCCTGAACAGCCCACTTGGTGGAAAGTTTAAAGCTAGGCTCAAATAAAGTTTCTCAAAGACCCTCCCTGTCATCTGCCCGCCTCCAGGGGACACACATTCTTCTACATGCTCCCTGACCAGGAGGGCCTCTCTCATTCTTTCGCTTCCTTTTCTTGAAGGAAAAGGCTCTCCTCCCAACTGGGCACCTTCAAGTGCGAAGGATGGAAGCTTCCTTCTCCAGCAGCTCCTCCCCATACAAAGCTGGACAAGGGGTCGCAAGGCTCTCAGTGAATTAACTAACCAAGAAGCCATGTGTCCTCAAGGCCTTGGCAAAATAAATCCCAATGCTTAAAAAATACAAAACTAAGTTGGGCCGGGGATTTAGCTCAGTGGTTCTGGTGCCTGCCAAGCAAGTGCAAGGTCCTGAGTTCGATTCCCAGTACCAAAAAAAGAAAAAAATTGTTACAGGAAAAAAAAAAGCACCCAAAGAAAAACAGCTGTAATCCCATCTACTCAGGAGGCTGATGAGAAGGTTCAAGGTTCAGCCTAGACAACCTAGAGAGCCTGTCTCAAAATAATGGACTTGGGATGTAGCTCAGCAAGAAAGCTTTGGGTTCAATCCCCACTAAGGTTAAAAAAAAAAAGGAAAGGCTGAGGATGTAGCTCTGCAGTAGAACTAAGAAGAGAAATAAAAATAAAATGGAAAAGAAAAACGGAGTGAGCTCAAAGACTATTAAAAAAAGGACAAATGTAGTGAGAAAAAAACATCAGAAACGGAAGTCAGGGCATAAACACAGGTAAAATATTCTGAACTGCCTGATGGAAATAAATTTGAAAACTGGAAGATTTCTACGAAAAAGTAATTTACCCAAAGTAGCTCAAGAAGAAATAGAAAACCTGTGTAATAGTTTAACCATTAAACCACATTAAAAACAATGTGCTGAACATGCATATTCCCTAGGATCGGCAACACCACTTACAGCAACATACAAACATGCATGTTCCACACGTGCTCTGGGAAACCAACAGGTGTCCCGCACCGACGGCAGTGGCGTGATCTGGAATGAGTGTGTGTCCCCAGTTCACAGATGAACGGCAATACAGTCATACGTGGGGGTCACTGTACAGCGAGAACGAGTGACTGGCAGCTCATAGACCCAGCATCAACGTTCCCACCACTACGTGTGAAAACAGCACACACGCCCAGAGACACGAACACACGCAGTGTATACAGATGTCTGTATATACCCTAAAGAAAACAACAGAATTACAATGAAAACGTCAAGGTGTTCTTTCTGGGGGGAGGCCAAAGGGGGGACACACAGGAGGCTCAAACCTACTGTGACAGTCTAGTTCTTCTGCCCGGTAGTGGCTAGATTCACTGTTTACAACATAAACAGTATTCATCTCCTTTATGTATATACTGATTTAAAAAAATATTTGGGCTGAATGTTGTGGTGCACACCTGTAATCCCAGCCCTTGGGAGGCTGAGACAGGACTACCTCAAATTCAATGTTTGCATGGGCTACGCTGTCTTACATAGTAAGGCCCTGTCTCAAAAGAAATAATTAATGGGGCCGGGGATTTAGCTCAGTGGTTCTGCCGCCTACCTTACAAGCACAAGGACCCGAGTTCAATCCCTGGTACCAAAAAAAAAAAAAAAAAAGAAATAATTAATAAAGAATAAATACAGGGCCGAGGATTTAGCTCGGTGGTTTCGCCACCTGCTACACAAGTGCAAGGACCCAAGTTCGATTCCCGGTACCAAAAAAAAGAATAAATACAGTATTTGGGGGAGATGGGAGAGAGGGGAAAGTACAGAGGCTCAAGATGGGATATGTATATGTACCAATTCCCCATATGAATTTATTAGGTATTACAAACATACACTAATAAACTGAGAATCTGTGTCACCAGGGTAGAAGTTCTCAAACTACAAAGATGGCCCCTTGCCTAGTATGAACCTGACTCCAGGCCCAGGGCGTTTCTTCAGATCTATGCCCATGTCACCTTCTCTAGGAAGCCCTTCCTAGTACACTATGTGGTCCCTCACTGTCTGTCCATCCTGCTGAATGCACATGCGAGGACAAGGGACCTTGGGCCCGTCTCTGATGTGTCCTCAAACCTGAACAGCACGCTGCACACACTCAGGACACAAATGAGTGAATGGTGGATCTGACTCTTGACCCTGGGCTGTGACCTCTCTCTCTGAGCCTCAGTTTTCTCTGTGCAGTGAGTGATAAGAGAACCTGGCTTAAGGAGGTCGTGTGTGTAAAGGACACAGTACAGGGTAGAAATTGAGTTACTCAGTTAACCTCCGAATCTTGAGGATGAGACCACCAAAGTCCAAAGAAGACCAGTACTTGGTCAAGGACACTGCCTGCCAACAGCAGAGCTAAGACAAAAGCAAAACACCGAGGGACACTGGTGAACAGATGGTAAGATGTGGAATACTCATACAACGGAATATTCAGCCCTAGAAAGCAATGAAGCTCTAATTCATGCTACCACGTGATGACTTCGAAAAATTATGCTAAGTGAAAGAAGCCAGCCCAAAAGGCCTCATTTCGTATGATTCCATTTATATGAAATGCCCAGAATTAAACTCATAGACAGGGGCTGGGGGTGGGGGTGAATAGGAAGACTACAAATGGTCAGGAGGGATCTTTTAGGGGCAATGAAATGTCCTAAAATCTGATGTGATGTGGTAAGTTTATTTGAAATGCCCAAGATGTACAATTAAATTATATGCAAATTACTCCTCCACAAAGCTGTTAGTTTCATTTTTAAAAAAGGAAGAATCCGCTCCATGAAGGAAGTTCTCAGGTGTCAGTGCTTCCCTGACTAATTGGGCAGCCCTGCCTGTGACCCCAGCTGCCAGTCCAGCCACCCCACCCTACCTCCCCAGGCTCTGTGCAGGTCCCTGCCCTCCCGAGAGTGCTCTGGGAGTCCAGGGTCTGTGGTCTGTGGCAACAAGAAAGTTCCTGATTTTGTGGGACCAGGCTCTGGTGACAACGGGCCTGCCAAAATGGCCTAAATCCAGGGTCACTGCAACAGGAGCCAGGGTTAGAGTTTGCAGGAAGCCACCAGGATGTTCCACCCAACCCTGACCAGAGGGCTGCACCTTGTTCCTGGGCCTCCAGAAGCGCTGACCATTAGCCCTGCTGAGCTGAGGTCACTCGGGCAAAGAACCCAGTCACTGTGGGGCAGCTAGGTGTCCTCACACTGAGTTGAGCAATGGGGCTGCTGCTGCAGCAATCTGAACTGCTCTGCTCTTGCCTCAGTCAGGGGCAGGCTTGGGCAGGAGCCAGAGGTCCCAGGACAGCCTGAATGAAGAAGCAGGCGCCAGGCAGCCTTTTCTGCCCAGAGAGGCTGTCCCCACTCAGGTCCTGAGGGGGTCTTGGAATACTCAGCCAAAACACCTCTGAACGTCAGAGCTAGGCAGCAGGGATGCAATCCCAGCCACTCCCAGGCCACGTGATTACCAGGATATAAAACAAATACCATCAGGTGGCAGGACCCACTCTGGCACCCTGCTCCACTCTCAGGGACCTAGCCGGAAAACCACCTGTTGAACTAGTTTGGACGCTATCTGACCCTCAAGGGTTCGTGTGCTGAAGGCCTGGTCCTGAAGACAGTGTAGAGGTGGGACCGAGCCTCTGCAAAGTGCAGCCCAGCGGAAGTCACCTGGGCACCTGCTCAGAAAGAACCGTGGGACCATCTGCCCTCTGGCTTCTGGTTTCAAGATGTAATCTCTCCCTTCCACACATACCTACCACTGCCATCCATCATGGGGAGAAGGGAGCTTGCTGGACCATCAGCATCTACAACTGTGAGCTAAAGTTAGCCAGCCTGAGATGTTTTCATTCAAAATGAAAAAGGGCTGATACTCCACCTACCTATTACCCACTCCTCTAAAGGTGGAGAGGGTGAGGCTGTGGATGGGCCTTCTGATGAGGGCACAGCTGCTCAGAAAAGCCAGGTTACATTCCCCATCTCATCCTGTCCACTAGCCAGGTCTGCTCACCTGTTACCTGCTGGATGCCTTCCCCAAAGCTGTGGGCCAAAGTCCTGGGGGACTTGTTGAAAGCACAGAGCACCGTCCCCTTTCAATCAGGCCTGACTGGGATGGCATCCTCAGATGACACGTGGCTCCATTTGGATAACCCTGTGTATGCCAGTAAGCAGAACTGAGAAATCTTTATCACCAGCCCCAGCATCCTGGCCACTTCTGACAAGGCCACTGGAGTTTCCTCTCCTTCCGTAAAGCTTGGATGAGTTAGTTGGACCCTTGCCATGGTGCCCACAGCACATGGAGGGAGCTGACCCCAGAGGCACGCTGGCCACTGTGGGTGCTGCCTCAACAAAAAGGCCTCTGTTAAGGCTCCATCCCTCCACCTCCAGGCCAGCTCCCCACAGAGAACCCAGTGTCACCTCCTGGGGTCTGGTGACTGGTTCAGGAATGGGGAAGCTGTGAGAAGCTGCGACTTCCCAACCCTGAAACCAACAGCATGGGTCCAGCCTCAGTGGGTGCCCAAGAAAGACTGGCCCCAAGTCCTGTTTCCTCACCAGATTCCGTGTTCCCTGACACCCTGACAGGATTTCAGTACCCAGGCTTCACAATGAGGTGAGGCAACAGAAGACCTCAAACACAGGGAAACCCCAACACTGCCCATGTCTCAAAGGTTCCTCAAATAATTTTGTACACACAAACTCTTGCACGCACCTTTCAAAATCTCTTGTGTCAGGGGTTGCATAGCAGTTACTTCCTTCTGAAAATATTTTTTTCTTTTTCTTTTTTTTTTTTTTGGTGCTGGGGATCGAACTCGGGACCTTGTGCTTGCGAGGCAGGCGCCGGAACCACTGAGCTAAATCCCGGCCCTGAAAATATTTTTTTCTAAGTACTGCTTCCCGTATCTTTTACACACACTATCTCACAGAGGAATCATTTACATACCCCTTTCTTTTGGTGAAAGGATACTTCTTGAGTTCAGGGAGTTCCACCCTTAGGCTACAATGTAAACATGGGTGTAACTCTGTAGCCACATCCAGTAGCTTTCCTGGGTGGCAACTATGCAACACGGACCAGAAGATCCACTTGGCAGCTGTGTTTCAGAGACCCCTACAGTTGTAAATATGACTTTATTTCTCTCCAAGTACCTTTCAAACCATCTGCTGTGGATGCACCTGACCTTCCTGTTTGCTACTGCCCTCCATTCCTCAGTCCGGTGCTGTCCAGATGCCCAAGAGGACTTCCTGATAACAGCCCCACATAGGGCAGTGTCAGTAGCCACCAAGTACCAGCTGCGGCAAATCACAGTAGCACACCAGTCTCAGTGTCCATATCTACACAAAGGGAACACGTTTTACCTCACAGAATGCAACAACGGATGCTGTATCACACCAGGAATATGTAGTAGCCACTAAGTGACTCTGTAAATGCCCACACATCTTACCTAGCCCCGTAAGCTGTCAGATAGACAACACTGGTTGGAGAACTGTACCTCGCCAGCTAGATCCCTGACGCCGAGAACTGGCCAAGGGAAGCTGATCCAGTAGTACTGAACAAGCAGTACAAGGTGTGTAGTAGATCTACTACAGGCCAGGCCAGGCCAGAGCTGGGGGGCACTGGCAGAAGTCAGGTCCCTGCCTGGGCAGGAATACCCCAGGAGAGATAACAGGTCCAAAGTATGCTCCGGAGTGGGGTGGGAGGGAAAGAGCTTACAAGAGGTCCAAACCTTCTCTTAAGGGCACAAAGGGTGAGTGCACACCCACCCTAAAAAGCATTAGCGTTTTACTTCTTAATAATAGATCCAATAAAAATAAAAATAAAAATAATATATCCAAGGGGCCTGGTGTGGTGGGGCACGCCAGTAATCCCAGCACTCGGGAGGCTGAGGCAGCAGGATCAGTGAGAGTTCAAGGCCCGCCTGGGCTTACTGACTTCAAGGACAGCCTGAACGACATCGTGAGACCCTGACTTAAAAAAATCCTGTATGGGAGCCGGGGATTTAGCTCAGTGGTGCGGCGGCCTGCCTCGCAAGCGCAAGGTCCCGCGTTTGATCCTGGGTAGCAAAAAAAAAAAAAAAAAAAAAATCCTGCATGGAGTGGGCCAGAACCCAGAATCTTGTCTTTGTTCTAAACACACAGCCTGGTTGGAAAGTCTCTGGCAATCACTCCCTACCCAACCCCCCAATTAATATCCTGAGCCCAGCATCTGGCCGTCATAGTGGTCTCAAAAGCAGGTCTGAAGTGCAGTACTGGATTCATTAAGACCACACCCCGCGGCCAGGCATTACCACCCCGGCTGGGCCCGAACTCCTCCCTCCATTCACTCGGCCTTCAGTGCCCTTCCGTCCACCTCCCCACACCAGCTTCCCGCCCGAGGTCGGTCTCAGACCTCCCCTTCCACCCCACCACCTTCCCGTCCCCACCCTGGCGCTCTCGCGGCCCCAGCCCACGGCTGAGGGTGCAGGGGGAGGGGGGGCACGGTCGGCAGCGCGGAGAAGGCCGGGCCGTCTCCTCCAAGATGGTGGGTCGAACAGGCATTCACAATTAGGACTGCACCTGCTCGAGCGCCAGCTCCCCCGGTGCGCGGCCCCGGGCACCGGCTCGAACTCGGAGCCTCAGTTTCCCCCTGTGCAGGGAGGAGCGTGGGCCGGGGCGCCCACAGGCTGGAGGGCAGGATCAGGAGCGCACGCCGAGGGCCGGGCTCTCGGGGCAGCAGCACGGGGCCGCACGGCAGAGGCCGCATGGGAGGCTCCGCAGCGCCACGGTGCCGCTGGGGGCACCACCGCGAGAGGCCCGCACGCCGCGCCGGGAAGACCGGGTGCGCGCCTGGCCCCAGGCCTCGCGGTGGCACTGTGCAGCGTGCCCCCGAGCGGCGAGGCCGCGGGACCCCCGCCCGCCCGGGCCCGCGCTCACCCCGAGCCGGCCGCCGTGGTGGCCTGGATGGAGCTGATGCGCAAGCGGTTGGCCGTGTCCTTCAGGGCCTGCAGCTTCTGCTGGTCAGGCTTGTGGTAGGCTTCCATGGCGCGGCCGGGCGGCGTGTGGCTTCCACAGGTCCGGGCGCGGAGCGGGGGGGGCGCTTTAAGCCTCCGCGGCTCCGCCCACGGGGCGGGGCGCGGCGGAGGGCGGGGCTCAGATCACCCCAGGCCCGCTGCGCCCCGCCCCGCCCCGCCCCGGCCGCCCTGCGGGGCCTTAGGGCTTTAGCCGGGTGCACTACGACTGCTCGGGGTTCGAAGTTTGGCTCAACTCGGCTGCTGACTCGAAGGCTATTCTGCTTCCTCCACACAGTCAGTCTTGGGTGGGATTGGAGGGCAGGTGATCGCCGCTAACCCCACTTGAGAGGTGAGCGGATCAAGATCAGGCAAGGTCAGTGAAGGTTATGGCATCCTCCAGCACCTGGCTCCAGCGGGCCGGCCCATGGCGTCTGGCTGGTGAGGGCGGTGGGCTGGGATTGGACTGCCGTGGCCCCCGGGGTGTGCCACCCTCAGAGGCCTGACAGGGGCCACCTCTGGCCTCGGGCTACTCACTATCTGATGAAAGAGGTGAACCCTGAGATCCTTGGACAGCTCTCTGCCTTCCCAGCTCTATGGTCCCCAGGGCGGTGGTTTTCTTATTCCAAAGTGCAGTCTCCCCGCTGCAACCACTCATTGTGGCCCCGGAGAGACAGTAATGCTTGAGAGAAAAATCCCCCCACCTCGTCGAGGACCTCTAGGAAGCCCAGAGAGGCTTCTTCTCATACTGGAGTTCCACACAAATGGGGCTCAGCTCACCTGGGATTCCAGCCACAGTTCCCTGCTCTTAGTGTTCCCCAGGGTCAGCTTTGGACCCAGAATCCTGGGCTGGCTGGAGGCGCTGCCCATGCTGGCCCCTGCCCCACGTCCTGGGTCTTTATTTAGGCACACGAGTCACATGGCACTGGGGAAGAGGCACTGGATCCTGCCTGGTTTCCAGCGGACACCTTGCTACGCTGCTCCCCTCGCCCCTCAGCCTTTCAGCTTCCGTTCACTCTCGCCACAGCTGCCGGGAAAACTGGTGCTCCCCAGCTTAGCCCCCCGCTAACCTCCCTCTATGCTTGGAATAAAATTCAGCCCCCTTCCAGACACTTCAGTGCGCTGGACTTCTTTCTTTCTTACAAAACACCAAGCTCAGTCCCACCTAGAGGTTTTGTGCCTGCTGTGCGCTGAGCCAGTAAAGCCCTTATTGCAGCTCTTCATTTTGTCTGCATCGAGAGAGCAGCTTTTCCTTCCCATCACACTGCCTCCCGTCTCTGCAGGGCTCTCCTTCTACCTTCATTATCTTGTGTCAGCTCTGGGGGAGCTGGGATGAGGTCTCCTCCCTGGCTGTAGCCCCAGGGGCCAGAGCCTGTCTCTCATTCGCTGTAGGTGCTCAATAAAGGCCTGGAAATGAAAGCAGTGCTGTGAAGTGATATGCCCGAGGTCGCACAGCCAGCAGGTGTCAACTGCACCCTGGCTGTCAGGGAGTCCTCAGGGGAGGGACTCTGGCTGCCCCAGCCCGCAGCCTCCATTTCAGCCTCCCCAGGATTTGAGACACAAAGGTGCTCTGTTGGTGCTCTCTTCAAAGGAAGTGGTGCAGTCGCCCTGCTGCCAGGCTCAGGTGACAGCAAAGGCCAAGGCAAACTGACAGCAGAGTTCGAACTGCCCTACACAGGACTCACGCAGGGCCTAGGGTGAAGGGCACCCTCAGGGAGCCAGGGCAGTGCAGTCCCCCATAGCCAGCTCCTAGGGCCTCCAGGATTACCAAAACCTGCAGGAGAGGGAACTAGGGGTCCTGCGGGTGCTTACTGGGGAGTGGCTTTTGACTCTTGTAAAGGTGGCCTGGGGCAGAACGGGGAGCAGGGGGCGCAGAGCTGCACCTCAGCAGGCGAGGCGGGGCTGCTCAGCGAGGAGAGGGTGGTGTATCGAGGTGGGAGAAGGGCCTGCAGGGCCGTGATTCTCAGTTCCGGTGGGGTTGCTGTGGGGACCCCAAAGGGCTGCACTTGGGCCAGGCGGAGGAAGCGCAGGACTTGGGGTTGCCCTGACACACACTTGCACAGACCCACACACCCTCCCTCACCTGCACACTCTTCCGCACACACTCTGGCTCAGTCTCACACAGTCGCCCTGTGCATTCCTAGTCCTTCACACCCACACGTGGGCACCCCCCACATACACTGGCCCTCTCCCTCTCACACACACACACAGCTCTGTCTCCTGTTGCCCCTGAGACTTGCCCCACCCTGGTGGCATCACTACTCAGCACCTTCTGGAGCCCACCAAGCACATGGGCCTTGGCTAAGACCAGGGCAGAGCCAGGGCCCAGCTAATCCTGCTGTTGGCCCTGGGCCTGGACTGGGCCTTCACAGGAGGGCCCAGGCTGCCGCAGGGAAGGCTCTGCGGGGCTCGTCTACTTGGACCGGCCTGCTGTGCCTGCGCTGAGCTCTTAGATGCTCCCCGCCCCAAACACGGCTACAGTGAAGGAGGGCAGGGGCAGTGGGGCTGAGTAGCCCAGTTGGCGTCATTCCACCCGATCCAGGGGAAGAGCAAACCTGCATTCCTCTAACAGATCTTGATTTAGGGGCAGAAAGTGGAGGGACCTGTGGGAAAATGTTGCTCCTTAGTGATTCCAGCGGATACAACATCCTCCAGCTCCAGATCACAGTGCCCAAAGCAGGTATTAAGCATGCAGGTCTCAGCACCACATCTAACCCAAATCAGCCTCTGGAATGTGCCCTGCATTGCTGATAAGACCTCAGTCAATGGTGCTGGGGCTCAGGAAACTTGGGAAAAATCACAGGCCGGCCTGCCAGGACAGTACTGAAGCTAGACAGCCCAGGGGTCCATGCTTTGCTGGGTGCTCCACAGGGCTGAGGGAGCAGTCAAGGTCTGCAGGTGATGTCAAGGTGGCAATGACACTTTTTTTTAGTACCGGGGATCAAACTCGGAACCTTGCACTTGCAAGGCAGGCGGCGGCACCACTGAGCTAAATCCCCGGCATTGACACATTTTTAAAATGTTTACTTCTGTGGTACTGGGAATTGAACCCAGGGCCTTCCCACTGAGCTACATCGCCAGCCCTTTTTTTAATCTTTTGTTTTGAGACAGGATCTCCCTGAGTCTCTAAGCTGCCAGGCTGGGCTTGAACTTGCCATCTTCCTGCCTCAGCCTCCCAGAGTGCTGGGATTACAAGCATGCACTACCACACTTGGCTTCACGATATGTTGTTAACCAAGTAAAAGCAAAGGCTAGAAGAGCAGGTGGAGGTGAGCCTCTCTGTCAAAAACAAATAAAAACGTGTGTGCGCATGTGTGCATGGGCAAAGCATGAAGATAGGTTTGAGCAGGGGGTTGTGGAGGGTGCAGAGGGGAGGACTTACACTTTCTTCTTACCCATTTTTCTTCTGTTGGGATTTAGCAGTAACAAACATGGTTGGCTTTTATAATCAGAAGAACACAAAGTAAAATTCTATCTTCAAAAACACTGTTGTGGGGGTTGCCTTCGCATGAATGTGCTTTTTCTTCATTTCCCATGATTATATAAAGGTGCTCCTGTTTCATAAGCCAGGCTGCTGCCTGGATGTTTCTGGGTTGAGGACAAAGCCCCGGGCTCCGTGTGGTCCTGCCCTTGCTTGGCTGGCTGCATGCAACGCAGGGCAAAGGTGTCCTGGTGTGCCCTGGCATGTCTGTACCCACTGTCCATTGGTCGGGCACCAATGAGGCATGAGTGGCCCTGAGCAGCTGTGTTCCTGAGTGACAGTGCTGGGCATCGCCCTGGCAGGGCTGGATCTTCGTGTGTGCCTTCGGGGCACGCCTGGGCTGGGTGCTGCACATCCCGGCCTGCACAGGCCTGCAGAGGAGCTGGTGTCCATGTCTGTGTCCCTGAGACACTTCCTTTGACTTGTGTCCAAGGCTCGGCTCGCAGCCTGCAGGGCCTGGGATGAATCCTCATGGGTCGAATGCCCCACCTTGTGGGGGCCTGCATATGGGTACTTGCTTCTCCTGTATGGATTTCTTTTCCTTTTTTGGGGGTGGGGGGATTTTGAGACAGGGTCTCCCTTTGTAGATCAGGCTGATCCTGAACTCTGTAGTCCAGGCTGGCCTCGAACTCTCGGCAGTCCTACTGCCTCAGCCTCCTGAGTGCTGGGATTACAGGCCTGTGCCACCATGCCTGGCTCACCTTTTAAAAAATTTTTTCTGGTCCCAGGACTACACCTAAAGCCATCCACTGAGCTATATCTGCAGCGTTTTTTTTTTTTTAAATTTTGAGACTAATTTAATTTCTCACTAAATCACTAAGCTGGGCTCAAATTTGTAATTCTTCTGCCTCAGCCTCCCAGAGTGCTGGGATTACAGGAATACAGCATCATGCCCAGCTTGAATTGTTCTTATGTTTTAAAAAACACTTTTAACTTCTGATAATAAAAATAAAACATACACATTGTAAAGACCTGGAAAATACAGAATATTTAAAAGTAACCTGGGCCAGGGATTTAGCTCAGTGGTTCCACCACCTGCCTTGCAAGCTCAAGGACCTGAGTTCAATCTCCGGTACCCCCCTCCCCAAAAAAACCCCACCCAAATGGGACCACTGCTAAGGGTATTCATTCATTTGACAAATACTGATTTAGTATAATTGTTACGAAGACCATAAAACAGGATCATGGGTCAGGGGCTAGGGCATTGGCGCAGAGGTACCTTAGATGGTCAGGCAAGGCTGAAAACAGTCACCGCTCAGTGTGTATTTGCTGTTATCTATTTTTCAAGAATGTTAGGATCATATTAAAGGTACCAGTTTTCATACATTTTCCCCTCTAGTTTTAAAAAATTCTTCAAATACATTATTTTACTAGCAGTGTGTTGTGCAGTCATAGGGTGCCGTCCTCATCCACACACCATCCCTAAGAAGGGGTATTGGACGGTTCCCTGTTTCTGCCATGCTGTGTATGTTACCTTCACATAAATTTTTGGTCTCCACATCCTTCTCCTCCTGGCAGGCCATTTTCTGAACCAGAGCCCTAAACTAGAAACTACTGGGTCAGAGGTGGTGATCTTTCCAGAGCTCTGCATGCCTCTCTGGCAAAGAGCTCCCTAGCCAGACTGGTCCTGCTGGCTCTGTCACCTTTGCCTCTAATGGTGAGGGCCTGCCCTTGGCTTGGGAAAGCGAGTGGAGTGAGGGGATCCAAAGCATATTTGGCCTTGGGTGGATCTTTGCTCTTCCTTGGAACCCAGTTTCCTCACTTTTGTAAATCGTGTGTGTGTGTGCGTGTGTGTGCACGCACACACAGTACAGGCAGTGATGTGTAGAGGCTGAAGAGTGTCGACCCCCATGGCCAGGAAACAAAGGGAAGTGCAAGGAGAAGAAAGAATTGGAGGAGTTTCTGGAAATGTCTTTCTCTAGGACATCTTCAGAACTCTGGGCCCTGTGCAGCAGGTGGGTGGGGACCCCTTGTGAGGCGCGTAAGGGCAGGGAGAGGGAACCTAAAGGCAGGAGAGAAATGACCCAGCCAGCTCACCCAAGCACACAGGCATTCTTGTCTCTTCCCTTTTCATTTGTTGACTTTTTTTAAAAACACGGCTTTATGGAGATACAGAATAATGAGCACACCATGGAATTCATCCTGTTATTTTTTCAAAGAATATTTAGCTTTGTAATATTTAGTAAGATTTTTTTTTTTGCTTTTTATTAACTTTTAAAATTTTTGTCAGTACATGTCTGCAGTGTATGATAATTACATTCATTATGGGGAGCTGGCACATGCACATAACACATCCTAATTCCTAAGACTCCTTCCCCTGCCCTTCCTCCTCTCCTGCTACCAGGTATTGTGTCCAGCAATCCTTTCCAGGCTTTCACTGTCCTATTCAAAGAATTGGATGGAACAACTGATGAACATGAAAGTTTGATGTTTATGGCAAAAGAAGAAGAAAAAGAAGCCTAAAAGAAGGGCAGAGGAAGAAAAAATGCTCTGCAGGAAAAGAGAAGATACACCCTGTGAACAGGCTGGGCAAGGAAAAGGCAGCATTCTCTGACTGGTATCGGGTGCAGGGCTCAGTCACTGTTCTGCATGCGTGTCCTGAATGTCTGAGTAACATTTCTTCCCCAGTGACAGGTCACGCCCAATTGCCCAGCTGCTTTGCCGTGCCCTAATCTCCTGCCTCACTTGCTCCATCGCTTGGTCTCTTTCTCATTTATAAAAGATCTAGAGACAGATAGGTGATCTGTGGGTGTATTCACGGTGTTGCTGGGAAGGCCCAGCTGGCTGATCTCCCAGACTTGCACTCACTGTGTCCCAGGTGCTCCCTGCTCCTTGTAGATAAGGAAAGAATGTCTCCTTGAAGATGTTTATTTAGATGTATGGCTTGCAATAGCTTGAGTCTGGGAACAGAATCTACTGTTTCCTATAAATTGTAATCTCTGTAATGTTTCAACTTCTTTTTTGAATAATGTAGCCTGTTCTGCACTGAAAGTAGTGACTAGCGGCATGTAGCAGCTCATTGCTTAAGATATAAAAAGAGGAACAAATAAAGATCTTGGTCTTAGCTCCTTGAAGCTCTGACCCTCTGGGCCTCCCTGTTTTGTGTCTTTCTTTTCTTTCTTTTTAAACATTTTTTATTTGATACTGGAGATCAAACTTGGGACCTTGCGCTTTTGAGGCAGGCGCCGGAACCACTGAGCTAAATCCCTGGCCCATTGTGTCTTTCTTTTCTAAATAAGTCCCTCTCCTTTCGGGACCCCTGACACACCCTGTTTCCTAATACCTACTTTTTTATTTTATGAAAAAATAAAACAAAATTTCATAACAAAATAATAAGAAAATAGGGCCAGGGATTTAGCGCCTGCCTCGAAAGTGCAAGGTCCTGAGTTCGATCCCTGGTACCAAAAAAAAATAATAATAATAATAAGAAGAAGAAGAAGAATAGCTGGGGATTTAGCTCAGTGGTTTCTGCCTCCTGACTCACAAGCGCAAGGCCCCGAGTTCGATCCCTGGTACAAAAAAAAAAAATTAAGAAGAAGAAGATAACAATAGTTAATACATTGTGTCTTATTATCTTCATGATAGTTACTCAAAGTAAAGATATAAACCAGGCAGATTCTTACAAAAAAGAAGAGAAACCAAGCGATATAAGTTTATGTGTCTGATTTATTTCACTTACCATTCTGGTTACAAGGCGTATCCATTTTCCTACAAATGACTCAAATTTATCCTTCTTTATGGCAGAGTAGTACTGAATTGTGTATAAAGAGCACATTTTCTTTGTCCATTCTTCTGTAGATGGATATATAGGTCGCTTCCAAGAGTTGTATTGCTATAAACATGGGTATGCATGCATCATTGTAATGTGACATCTTCAACTCTTGGAATTTCTTTTTTTTTTTTTTTTTATTAAGTACTTAGTACATGCAAGGTACAGTAGGTTTTTGTTTGTTTGTTTTTTTGGTAGCGGAGATTGAACTCCTGACTTTGCGGTTTCGAGGCAGGTGTAGGAACCACTGAGCTAAATCCTGGGCCTGTTTGTTTTTGAGAGAGATCTCACTATGTAGCTCAGACTGGCCTTGAACTCACTATGTCACCCTAGGCTGGCCTTGAACTTGCAGCTTCAACCTCTTGAGTACTGGGATTACAGGCGTGCACCACCATGCCAGGCTTCAAATGGAATTTCTAGCTTTTTTTTTGAGGAATCTCCATACCGATTTCCATAGTGGTTGTTCTAGTTTACACTCCCACCAACAATGTAGAAGGGTCTCTCCCCTCGTGGCCTCATGATTTCTTGATAGTAGTCATTCTTTCTGGAATAAGATGGAATCAGTGTTGTTTTTTTTTTTTTTTTTTTGGTACCAGGGATCGAACTCAGGTCCTTGTGCTTCCGAGGCAGGCGCTGGAACCACTGAGCTAAACCCCCAGCCCTGGAATCAGTGTTTTAGTTTGCATTTCTCTAATGGCTGCCAATGTTGACCACTTTTCCATGTTTTCTTTTTGTTTTGCCATTTGCACTTCTTCTGAGAAGTGTCTGTTTATTTCAATTGTTCATTTTTATATACACTATCTTTTTTTTTTTGGTACTGGGGATCAAACTCAGGACCTTTCGCTTGCAAGGCAGGCAGCAGAACCACTGAGCTAAATCCCCGGCCACAATTGTTCATTTTTGATTGGATCTTTTTTTTTTTTTTTTTTTTTTAGACAGGGTTTTGCTATGTAGTTCAGACTGGCCTTGAACTCATTATGTAGCCTAGCCTGGCCTTGAACTCGAAGTAATCCAAGTGCTGGGATTACAGGCCTGTGCCATCATGCCTGGCCACATTTTTTTTAATATTGGGAATGGAACTCAGGGCCTCCTGTTAGGCAGGCGCTGTGCCCCTGAGGTACATTTCCAGCCCCAATTGGGTCTTTTATTTGGGCGGAGAGTCTAAGATTTTATATATGCGAGATATTAGTCCTCAGAGGTGTAGCTGGTGAAAAGTGCACCATCATGCCCATGCCTGGCAGAAGCTTTTTAATTTGATATGGTCCCATTTATTGGTTCTTGCTGTTTGTATTGAGGGTCAGAGAAAACAAAAACAACTGAATTGCTATTTTCCTATTCTCAAACATTCAGTAAGTTCAACGCAGAGTGCTTCTGCGTCATTAAAACATATGGTAATTTCTCCCCACTAAGGATCTCTGCAGTGGACACCAGCTGGGTGCCCTCTGATTCAGTCCAGTTCAGACTCCACCTAGCTGGAGGTAGCTCACTTCTCAGAGGCTGAGAACTCAGACCCAGGAGACTGTCTCCACTGGAGAGCCAGCTTCGGGTCCTGGCTTCTGAACTCCTGACATGGTGAGGTTAAACCCCACTGTTACTGGATAGACAGCTACCAACTGGTTGTTCACCCTCACCTGGCTGCCTATAGTGACCCTAGGTGTGGTCTCTTTAAATCTGCTGGCCACTTTTAAACGCCCTCAGACTTCCTGTGATTTATATATCATTGTGGGAAGTGTGGGTTGTGAACTGAGTGTTAAAGATATTGGTAATTATGACTGAAATGGAATAAAATAATTCGTGATGCCATGGTCACGATATCTAAGTGAAATCAGGAGTGCGCAGTAGATGAAAGCTGATGAAGTGATGTAGCTTGTGAATTCATTGTTATCCAATAAATTCTGACACTGCGAAAAGACACACACACTTGTCTACATTAGCAGCATAGCTTACTCATGGCAACCACTGAGCTGCATCCCTAGCCTCCAGGGTTTCAATTTAATTAATTATTAATTAATTTTTTGTGGCTACTGTGGATTGAACCCATGATTTGAGGCAAGTGCTCTACCACTGAGCCACATTTCCAACTCTTTTTCTTCTTCTTCTTCTTTTTTTTTTTTGGTACCAGGGATTGAACTCTGGACCTTGTGCTTGCAAGGCAGGCAGCGGCAGCACCACTGAGCTAAATCCCCGGCCCTTCATTTTATTTTTTCTTTTGAGACAGCATCTCACTAACCTGCCCAGGTGGGACCTCCTGCCTCAGTGATCGTCCAGCCTCAGCCCCCCAAATATCTGGGGTTACAGGCATGGTCCATTGTGTCTAACTTCCCCAGGGTTTTTATAAGTTTTAACTCCAGCCCCTCCCCACTTCCCAGGGAGAGATGGATGGGGCTGAAAGCTCCAAACCATTAATTCTCTCTGACTTAGTTTCCCCACTCTGGGGCTATCTGGGCAGCCAGATAAGTGTTATCAAAGGGGCTCCTTGAGAATAGCAACAGATACTCCTAAAATCAGCAAATTCTAAGGATTTTCAGTTTTATGAGAGAAACTGGAGACAAAGGCCAAATATATTGTTGGGAGCCATTCTACATAATCTTGAACAAAAATCATTTCACGATGAAGTGATGACTAGGGCTGTCCGAGGCCTAGTGGCCCCATGGTGCTGTGCTGCTCAAGGGCAAGATTGCATCCGCACACGATCCTGGTGAACTCAGGGTTAGCACCGTCCTCAGAGAGGTCTGATACTCGATGAACCAACCCAGTAAACAGTGGAAAGCTCCAGTGTCTTGGTCCTTGCCCACTCTGAGGCACTGACCTTCTGGCCGCCCATGTACTTTGATTTTTTTTCTTTCTTTTGGTACCGGGGATCGAACTCGGGACCTTGCACTTGTGAGGTAGGCGGTGGAACCACTGAGCTAAATCCTGGCCCTCTACTTTGAAATTACACAAGTCTCTATTGTCTTTTTTCTTTAGCCCTCACTGTCCCCCTTTCTAGGTGGTCAGAGGATTGACTGACCTCCAATAATGTATTTCATACCCTATAGGTATGTTCACGGAATTGTGCAGTCATCACCACTGTCTAGCTTTAGAACATTTTCTTTTTTTTTTCCCTTAAATTCTTTTATTGGTACATTTTAGGTATACAATGCATTTACATTTCTCATTGGGATCTTGTACCTGTACATGATGTATCTTGGTTCTTATTTTTTCCTCATTCCCTGCCCTCCCTTCCCAATTATAAAGATTTTGTTTCCATTTTTTCCTTTTCTCATAATTTCTCCTTTTCTTTCTTTCCTTTCCCCTTCCCCTACCCCTTTGGACCTTTTCTTCCTATTTCAAATTATCAGTTATTCATTTTAATCCTTATTTACACTCTCAGTTTCTCACACTAGAGAAACTATTCGGTATTTACACATGTGTGTCCTATTTATTTCACTTAAGAGTATGGCCTCAATGTGCATCCATTTAGCTATAAATGTCTCTCGTTTCTCATTCTTTATGGCTGAGTGGTACTTCATTTTATTAAAAAACCACATCTTCTTTATCCAGTTTCCAGTTGATGGGCACTTGGGCTGTTTCCAAACTTTAGCTATTGCAAACTGTGCCGCTATAAACATGGGTGCACATATATTGCTGTGGTATGCTTCTTCATAGTCTTTTCCTATGCCAATGTCTTCAAGAGTTCTACCTAACTTTTCTTCCAGCAAGTTTAGTGTTTCTGTTTTTGTTTTTTGTTTTTTGTTTGGTACCAGGGATCGAACTCAGGCCCCTGCGCTTGCCAGGCAGGTGGTGGAACCACTGAGCTAAATCCCTGGCCCTAGCGTTTCTGTTTTAATATTTAGATCTTTAATCCACTTCCATCTTAGTTTAGTGGATGGTGATAGGTATGGGTCTACTTTTAATCTTTGGCAGGTTGAAATCCAGTTTTTCCAACAGCATTTATTAAAGAGGCTATCTTTCCTCCAGTGAGGGTGGTTGGCTCCTTTGTCAAAGATGAGGTAGCTGAGTGTGTCTGGAGTTGTTTCTGTATCTTCTAATCTATTCCACTAATCTTCAGGTCTGTTTCTTTGCCAGTACCATGCTGTTTTTATCACAGTAGCTTTGTAGTATAGTTTCAAGTTGGGGATTGTGATACCCCCTGCTATGTCTCTGTTGCCTAGAATTGCTTTTGCTATTCTAGGTCTCTTCTAGTTCCAAATGAATTTTTGGATTGCTTTCTCTAGTTCTGTGAAGTATATTGTTGGCATTACATAGCTTTAGAACATTTTCATTACCCTGAAGAGTGACCTGCACCCATTGGCAGTCAGTGCTTATTTTCCCCTCTTCCC